GACGTGTTCGGACGGGGGCCACGCAGCGCAAATGAAAATAAGAATCGCACCACCCGGGAGGTGGCAGGGTGTCTTAAGGCCGACAAGCCAGAGGTGCGCCTGCCCAAAACCAGACGCAGAGAATTAGCAGCGCCGCAACCCGCTACAATAGCGGCCGCAAGCGCAAAGAAATAGCGGTAGGCGCAGGTCTTCGAACCCTAGAGCTCGGTGGTGTCAATTCACCATAAATCCCCCGAAAGGAGGAACAACCCCACCCACAGCGATTATCCGACACCCGATGGGTCCCGGTTGAAGCCAAACGCCGTAGGGTTGTACTTCATAAACAATGCAATATCCCCGTTTTCTCGGGGATAGTGTACAGAATATCTATCGTGACAGCGAAAGAGGATATGCTGGCGAGACTGCAAAGCAGCCCCGCAAGTGCAGCCGTGAGGCTCATTGATCTTGAAGCGATGGTAATACGCTCCAATGGGCACGTGGCCAGTTATACACCGGCAAACGCGGGCGAACTCAGTAATACTGTGTCCGAATGTTGAGAGCCAAGGTCCCCCATTGAGGTACGATGGCTGTAGCGGCCGCCCGTCAGGCTGTTGAAGCTCTAAAAACTCAGAGCCCTGGTAGGTTGGATCCTGGAAAGTGGAACTCCACGAATCCAGGACTGAGTGCGCCGCTCGAGAGCGTAGCGTGTCTATGGAGTTGTCCGTCTTGCGACGTCCAACCCTGACTTTGAGCTCGGTGACGTACTTGTGTGCTTCACCATGGATATCCCACCGCAGAGCGGATGGGACGTAGACGAAGGTAACACGGCGGAGATCGTCCGCCTCAAACCACTCTTGAAGAGCGCGACATACTGACAGACTAAAAGCCTGCCCAGAATGCACGCCGGGGTCAACCGCTCTATGGGCCGAGCCCATAGAGTCAGTAAAGACCATAATATGTTGGCAATTTGCCTGCTTGACAGCAAGGCGCACTGCACACGAGATGGCATTGAGTTCCGCATCCGGGGCGGTAACTCTGCCAGAGACATAACGAGTCCTCTCGAGCTCGCAATGTCCCTTGTAGATTATAGCAGCCGAAGCTGCCTGATACTGGTTGGACTGAGGGACAGAGCCATCAGTTGCAGCCAGTACTGTTAGTGGGTTGGCCCTCACTCTCGCGATGAGCTCGTCTAGGTATGGACGCCTATCCTGGGTAGGATCGCGAAGTCGGTGGCCATGACGGCGTTCACAAAGGACGTCATCTGGGCCACGAAGGCATCGCCCCCATCGATGGTGAGCGGATTGTGGTGCGCGGCCCACAGAACCCAGTCTGTGGCCTTTGCAATGGAGGTGGTCAATACCTCGAGATCGCCAGGAAGATCCTCGACTGTCTCGGAACTTCAAGGCGTATTGACCTAAGAGTAGGTCGACAGAGGGGTCCCTCGAGACCTCCTCCCCTCCCTGAGTGCCCTCTACCTCCATCTCCTGGGGGTGGGCTGTCCCTGAGTCAGACTCATCTGCGGACGAATGGGTGGAACCTGTGGTGGAACGGGACCTGTGGCGAGGCGACGTGTGGCGAGATCGAGCTGGCACGACCGTCGAGTATGTGGCCCTAGTCGAGGTAGGGTCTGGCGAGATTGGCGAGGCATCACCACCAAAAGACGATGAGCCAGCGACCGATGGTGGTAATGCTGGTGGTGCGGAGCCCGAGTCCCCCCCACGACGGCTCCTAGGAACCGCCCTGGGGGGCCTCGCGCCCTGACCTCTCGGTGGGAGGTCAGACATGTGTTGCTGGTGCGGTACGAACGATCAAAAGAAGTCTTCTGGCTTGTCGATAAAGCGCTAGACGATGTACGAGATGGTGAGCTGGTTGTTTGCGCTTGTTGACAAATGGGCGTTCGAGAGAAAGAGGCATTGGAGTGGAGTGTCCATCATCCACTGGACTCCTATAGAACTCCGGTGGACTCCAGTGAACCCGCACAGAAAACTCGACTGGAGTCCTATAGGAGTTCACTGGAGTCCACTCATATTCCACTGGAGTCCTACAAAATTTGAACCTATTTAGGCTATCCACTGGACTCCAGTGGAGTGCCAGTGGAGTCCAGTGGAGTCCAGTGTAATTAAATATTACAGTTATATATAGTATAGCATGTTTACTATGTGAATATAGGACTCCACTGGACTCCACTGGACTCCGGTGGAGTGCCAGTGGATGCCCCAAAAAGGCTTGATTTTTTCCATATTTTTCCATATTTTTATCTATTTTTTTTACCACAGAAAAAAACAGTTTAAAAAAATGCACCAGCAAGAATTGAACCAGTCACAAGCATTACATGACTATAGTACCATGCACAGTCAACTATTGAGCCATTAAGCCTATGATAGTGTATAGATATTTAGTAAATATATATCTGTGCAGCTGTCCAGATATAACCAGTACGTCCAGTTTGTTTTATTTTCAAGCAGAGATTGAAATTTATTTACTGATCGTGTTCCCATGTTTACCTCTTGATCTCGTACCACCACCATCACCCAATACACCAGGTAAGCCCCCCAATCTGTTTCGCGCCCCACGAACGCTGACCAGGCCCCGCCCCCTCCCCTTCACTCCTGCCCCACGCCAATGCTGACAACAACAACAACAACAACAACAACAACACCGAACCTGAACACAAACACAAACATGAACACAAACACAAACACAAACCGAACACGAATCTGAACATGACAACAACAACAACAACAACAACGATGACGATGACGACGGTGAATCGCCACGTCCACCGTCAATCGTGCACGGACCACCTTGCCAACATGAACGCCGGCGCCCCCACCCTGCTCCCGAACACAAACCCGAACGTGACAACAACAACAACAACAACAACGATGACAATGATGATGATGATGACGACAACGAATCGCCACGTCCACCGTCAATTGTGCACGGACCACCTCGCCAACGTGAACGCCGGCGCCCCCACCCTGCTCTTGCCGCTCGTTGTGCCCCAACCATGCATGGACCACCTCGCCAACACGAACACCGGCGCCCCCACCCTGCTCTTGCCGCTCGTTGTGCCCCAACCGTGCACGGACCACCTCGCCAACGCGAACGCTGGCGCCCCCACCCTGCTCTCGCTGCTCGTCGTGCCCCACCCATGCACGGACCACCTTGCCAACGCGAACACCGGTGCCCCCACCCTGCTCTCACCGCTCGTCGTGCCCCAACTGTGCATGGACCACCTCGCCAATGCTGGTGCCTCCGTCCACCACCGAATGTGCACGGACTACCCACCCACATCTGCCAACAACATCCACGACGTCCACGCCCCACACCGCGCCCAATGCACACGTCCACCACCGAACATGTATGGACCACCGACCCACGACAACGCTGCCCAACGCACACGTCCACCACCAAACATGTGCCAACCTCCTTACCCATGACAATGCCGCTGCCGCTGCCCGATGCTGCCCTCAACACACATGTTCACCACTGAATGCGCACCGACCCCTTACCTGCGACAACACCGCCGTTGCCACCCAACTCTGCACCCAACGCCCATGTCTGCCAATGACGTGCACGGATGCCCCCAACCCACAGGTAAGCCCCACACCCCCCAGCCATCCCAAAACTGCATGCTGACTGTTGCCCCATCCATCCCTCTGCCCTCCCCTTCTCTTGTACCCAACCCCACTCCATCACGCCCCCTCAACCGCCTGGACCTGGACCTGAACTGTGTGCCACACCTTGCCCCCCTCTTCCCCAACATGTATAATGACAATTGCCCTCTGTGTTTAGTTTAAGTAAGCATATACATTTTGTAGATAGACAATAATACAATTTTTTTTTGGCCAAAAAAAAACTTGTGTGTTTTTTTGACGGAAAAAAACTTGTGTGAAATTTATTCTAAGTCCAAAGCTAACTTGTATTTATTATTTGAAGATACAATTCAACCATGGCTCGTACACCTGAACCATTCACTGCCACCAAGTGTGATGCTTCCGAGTCCCCTCCTGGACAGCATGATCCTAAGCGTAGCTGGCCAACCTTGGATGACTCTGACCAGGAGATGGAACAGTTGATGGACAACGTTGAGCTTGATGAGGAGGAGGATGACTACTATGATGAAAGTTTGTCACGCTCTTCAAGAGTGGTTTGAGGCGGATGATCTCTGCCGCATTACCTTCGTTTACGTCCCATCCGCTCTGCAGTGGGATATCCATGGTGAAGCACACAAGTACGTCACCGAACTCAAAGTCAGGATTGGACATTGTAAGACGGACAACTCTATAGACACGCTACGCTCTCGAGCGGCGCACTCAGTCCTGGATTCGTGGAGCTCCACTTTCCAGGATCCAACTTACCGAGGCTCTGAATTTTTAGAGCTTCAACAGCCTGACGGGCGGCCGCTACAGCCATCGTACCTCAATGGGGGACCTTGGCTTTCAACCTTCGGACACAGTATTACTGAGTTCGCCCGCGTTTGCTGGTGCATAACTGGCCACGCGCCCA